GCTGCCAGGTCGCAAGATGGGCAATGCGAGGACTTAGAGGCCTGAGTTCCTTTTCAAGAAGACCCGCACTTTTGTCTCATGTGCCATGCAAAAAAGGGCCACAGGTAAACCAGATGGACTCTGAAGCTGTGTTCGTGCAACCGTATAGGAGTTACCCCGGGCAAAATCGTAGTCGGTTTTTGTTTTGCTTTGCAGAATCCTTGGCGCGCACAGAAACTCAGGTGGTTTTGTTCCTTAATTAATCGACAAAATCAATATTGAACGTCCAGTTCCCTGATTGGCAGCAACCCGTGGCGGCAACAACGCCAGACCGACGACACCAGCGATGAAGATGGCTTCTACTGCCGATCTGCCCGCCACGACCTGCGGATGATCGTGACGTGCGCCATGACAAACACTGTCCAGGCTCCAGACGCAACAAAGATAGGGGTGGTTTCCTTATCGGGGTAGCTTCCCGAGTTGGGATTTGCTGTTCGGATCTTTTGGAAGTTGTTTGCGTGGTGCGCAACCCCACATACTTGAGGTATGCTCGCAAGATGTGGGTGTGCCTTTTTGTTGAGATTTGTTGAGGGTACGTTTCTGTCGGTGGTTCCGAGAGAAACGCATGGGAAACCAAAGGGAAACGGATGGAAAACCACATGCCAAAGGGAAGCACGCATTTGGTTTCGCCCCCGTATTTGGAGACAAGTGGCCTGGGCAGACGAAATGTGGCTTAGGACTTCGATGGGCTCACCAAAAGCGGGTGAACAAGGGCGATTGTGTGGGGACCTTTCGGTGTCTTTTTGAGGGCCTCCTAATGGTTGTTTTTAAGCAACACCAAAAGGACACCGCCAATGGGGAGTCCACCATTTTGAGACAGTCTATCCATTTGGGGTAGGAACTCGGAATGATAGGTCTTCAAGTGCTAAGCTTGACGGGTATCACTAACGTTGCGCAACATGCCAGTTAAAGAAAGATCAGATTGGTCAGCGTGTGCTCGCAGAGCTTGGCGATTGTTTTCGCAGCGGCATCCTGGATGCAGCCTTGATGGTTTGCGTTTCAGCGTTTCGTTCCAAGGTTGTCAAGTTTGGGAAATGTCTGCCCATAGCCTTCAATTGAAATGATGCTTATAGCTGGAGTTTGGCAACATTGCCCCAGCCACCCAGTTCGCTGTCGCAGGTACGACACCAGCAGCGTCGGGGTCACAGAGGGCCTCGGGGGCCAGTCTTGCACGGCCAGAACTGGGTTTGTCTCAAAATAGGACATACATATATATATATATATGCAATACATATATATATATATATATGTTCCCGTAGCCCGTCGTCCCCCCCCCTTTAATGGTATGGGTCCGTCCAGGGGGCGACCCTGGACCCCCCCACCAATCCCACAGAGTGGCGGGGCGGCTTGTACACAGACCCCAACACGAAGCGGTGGGGTGTGGGGTGGGAACCATGGACCTCTCCCCATGGCCCGGGGGGGCTTGTACGGCGCCACTGTGCTACCTTCTTGACTGAGCATGACCATGGGGGGGGTGGCGGGGGACCAAGGAAGACTGGAACATATGTACATGTGGAACATATATACATGTGGAACCTCCAAATTGGGTGGGCTTCCTTCTGATGTCCCATCAAAGCCACCACCCCACATGAGCAAACCCACTTAAATTCCGCACGTGTCCCAAATCCCCCGGGAAAACACAGGATTGTCCATGGCTGTTGTGCAAGGTTCAAAGTGCCGACGTTTGGAGAACAAAACCAGGGGGGTGCTTCAAACTAGGAAGCCGTGCCACTCCCAAACGCTGATTGCGAAATGGCCATGTCTCAAAACTGGAAGCCACAGTTTTGGGCATTCCTGAAAACCGAGATGGCTTCTGAACGCCTAATTGGAGACTCGAGACTCGCCCAAGCGCTTGGACTCCCCGGTGATCTGAAAGCAGGACTCGCCTTTGTCAGAGCATTTACCTGTGGCTTGCGCAAAGGATTCTGGCACGGACTGACCACGACCAGGAGTTGGTCAAATTCGTCAAACATGCCGTACACAATCCGATAAGTCACAGAGAAGGAGATCCAGATGCCAGCCGTTTCCTGATTTCGAGCCCTGTGGTGAGTCTGCTCGGCCACAATCTGCTGAATTCCTGGCGGTGCAGAACAAATAAAGGAGGCTTCAAAGAGATCCAGATGGCGCACGCGCAACACGTTGCGTCAACGCGGGGCGGGGGGGGGGGGAGGCGGGGTTGCCGCACTTGCAAGAGACGCAGTTGCGCAGTGCGTTTTACGAACGTTTTTGTGGAACACCTGCTTTGCGCTTCATCGACTTCACCCTTGCGAGCCAGGGGGGGAGTGGTGTAGGGGGCTGTTTTCGCGCTGGTCGCATGCGGAACATTGGCTGGTATCGCACCACTGTGCTCGAGACCAACACCACGGCCCTTACGCTGCCATCGTGAAAGTTTGCGGCACCTGCAAAACATAGTTGTTTACGCGCGCAAAACACCTGTGTTTTACCAGTATTCGTGCAGCAAACTTGCCCTGCAATGCAGGATGAGGGGCGTGGGGGAAGCTAGATGGCGAATGGGCCTGTTTCGAGCTAGGGCCCCACTTTTGACAAACAACATCTTGTGCATACATTTCAGCCCTGATCAAGCCACTCGAGGGCGGGTCAAGTGGGCTCAAACCTGAGCCAAGCATACGGGACAGCAACCTGGCAGCTCGGGACAGGAGCCTTGTCCCAGCTTTCCGGATTTGCTCTGGTTGCCGAGGGCCCCCAAGAAGGACCCCCAAGAGGGCACTCCCAGAGGCCAATAGATAGGGCCTAATTTGGGTGTACCAATGAATCCCCTCGTTGGTTCAATCCATGAACCCAAAATTGCAAATTTGAATAATTGACTGATTGAAGAACAATTTGTATCATCCTGGTAATTCCTTGACACCTTTCAGGCAAGCAACTAAGTTCCTTAAGTTCATAGAAAGGGCCCAGAAAGGTAGGCCAAACCAAATCCGAGAACGCTCACAGACGGCATTTCTCGCCTCGCCCTTTGTGACCATCTGAACTTGGAACGGTTGCACGTAGAGGACTCAAATCCAGTGATTCCATGGCCGCAAGCAAAGAGGTGTTCTCTTTCTTTGAGGGTGCCGTTTTTGGAAGTGATGTTGAGGGAAACCAAAAGGACACCACGTGTTTGGAGGAGACACAGCCAAGTACACTGCCAGGTGGAGGTGTTCTTGAACAAGGGCGATAAGGAAGAGAACATTCCCAGCGGCATCCCCGTCCAGGCGCGGACCGAAGAACGCCGAACCGGTTCGATGGGGTGCCGGGTGAGCTTTGCCCGGCGGGTTGGCAGGTTTCCTGACAGGCACGCAACCAACAGGCTGGGGGTGCAATGCATCAATACATGAAGGCAATTAAGAGTAAGGATGCATTTTGCAAAGGGTTCCGATGGGTTTCGGAGGGGGTTTCGAGGCCGCTGCGGGCCAAGGTTCCTGAAGGGTTTCGGTGGTTACAGCCTTACTATTGTTTGGTTCGTAAAACAATGCTTATGTTGCCTGATGATGCAAGGGTTCAAATCTGCGCTATTTGCATTCTAGCACGCGTATCTTCCATTTGGCGGACATCCTAGATTCTAGCAACATCGATTTTGCTTTGCTCACACCCACAAGTTTCACTTGAATGATTTTGGGATCATCAGGGCTAGTGATCAAAAAATGGTGTTCAAAATGCCTTGATTCATTTTTGCACGTTGATATGCAGTTCACCCTCCCATTTTGTTTGCCGAAGGGGCGGAATTTACTGGTATTTTCTATTGGACAAAGCCAACGTAACCACGAGGGGTGTGGCGTGCGGTCGTTGTATTTTGTCACCATTCCGCTGCCCCGTTTGGGTTCTCTCCAGGTCATTATGCCCGCGGATACTGTGGACTGGTTCCTCAGGGTCAAGGCGTGATTGGGCGGCAGGGAAGCCACGGGGCCCAAACCTTCAGTGGATATCGGGCTGATTGTTTTCATCTTTATCCCGCAACAGCCCGTCTTTGCCCAGGTAGGGCCGGAGCAATGCTTCTGGGCGTTGTCAGGTTCCGGATGGTTCCGGAAGGGTTCCGTGCGCTGCTGTTGGGGATACTAGCTGGGCTTATTTTGGAGGGGCATTCCCTTTGAAATGGTTCCGGAAGGGTTCCGTGCGTTGCTGTTGGGGATACTAGCTGGGCTTATTTTGGAGGGGGCATTCCCTTTGATGTCAACTACAACGAAAAGGTGCCGCTCTTTTTCCGACGACCATTAGAGGTCTGTGACTGTTTCAAAGGATCAACATGGGTCCTGGGGTACGGTCCAATCAAGGGAGAGCTATAACTCAGGCTCACCTCGCCGATGGAAGACGTTTGAGAATTTGCTGGCATTATGATCCGTATGTTTTGGGAACTGGAGTTTGGCTTGGTTCTTCCAGCGGTGATGCTCTTTATTTCTCGCCTTTTGGCTTGTTCCTGATTTCGGCTTTGCGTTCGAAGTCCGGGCCATTTGCAAGATTCGCCACATGTTCGGTGGCTCTGAAGATTTGGCAGGGAGCGAGGGGCTGGGAAGGGTTTCCCTTGCGCCCGGAAAACGCAGGGACCCCCTCGCTTTATATTATTTGCTGAAGCAAGGGTTCGGTCAAAACGCACACCCTAGGAAGGGCTGTGTGCACCAGACCAGATTCTCTCCAATTTGCTCTGGCTGGCAACCCACCTTCAAGCTGGAAGCAAACCGCATATGTTCGATTTTCGTGTTTGTGGTTGCAAGAGTCTTCCCGACCTGTGTCATATGCTACTTTTCCTTCTCATTCATGCTTTGTTCAAAACCCAAGGACCGGGGAGCTCTTCAGCATCCTGAACGATGGCCCTTGTTTGATGCAAATCGCTCTTAGAGGGAAGACTTGGGGACGCCTGCCCTTGGGCTGCCAGGGGATGAAGGAGGTCAAGGCTCGCGGCTGAGCCGTCGAGGTATTGACTGGGTGATGTACATGCCTTCGAAAGGCTTTGCGTTTATGGGGGGCCCATGGGCCGGGTGCCGCTTGAAGAAAGAAAGTTTGCATGAGCCCGTGAGTACACGAAAAAAGCAACTTGCTACGCGCGCAGCCTTTTGAGGTTCACCTTCCCCTCCTTCCCCTCCTTCCCCTCCTTCCCCTCCTTCCCCTCCTTCCCCTCCTTCCCCTCCTTCCCCTCCTTCCCCTCCTTCCCCTCCTTCCCCTCCTTCCCCTCCTTCCCCTCCTTCCCCTCCTTCCCCTCCTTCCCCTCCTTCCCTCCCCCTCCTTCCCCCTCCTTCCCCTCCTTCCCCTCCTTCCCCTCCTTCCCCTCCTTCCCCTCCTTCCCCTCCTTCCCCCCTTTCCTCCCTGCCAAAAAAATGTCCGGTGGCCAACGCCCCTGCTGAGGTGCCTTTGCGGCTGGTGAAGGCCATGAAGTGCACCAAGATGATGTGCCCCAGCGGCTGGGCCCGGAAGCCCAAACGCTTTAGCAGACAGAAAGGCGGGTGACCACGACGTCAAGGTGGCCGCGAATTGATTGTGCTTTGTTCTGGGGAAGCCTTTCGTTTGGTTGGGGGCGCCATTTTTCTTTTGTCTTTTTTTTTTTTTTGGGGGGGGGGGGGGGGTGTTTCGGTTGGGGAGCCTTTTTTGAGAGCCCTGCGTTTTGAGAAATGGTAAAACTCCACCAGTGTTTCAAACGAGGCATGCTTCCTTGGCTGTATGGCGTTGCCATTCAGCTTCTAATCTGCGGGACTCATGTTCAACATAAAAAGGTATACTTTCTTGAATTTCAACATAAACTCTAAACATGTGGCTTCTTGGTGAGATGTTACTAGCGATTGTCAAGCTACAAGCATCCAACATCCCGGCAACTGTTTTTGCAATGCCTCGGGGCTCGGAGATGTTGCACAACACTGCTTGGAAATTGAAAAGCACGACATCCCAACCAAGATACATCACCCTGCTGCCAACAAAAACACCCCAATCTATGACGTCACTGGCATTTACAATATGAGTTGCCGCCACCTATCCAGCTATGTTTGGGTAGGTTTTCTGCCTAGTCCAAGTGAAGGCGCCTGGTCACCTGCAAAAACTGCAGACTGTGGGGTACACCACAAAAACAAAGTGCGAATAGAAGTAACGTAGTGGCAATTTCTTAGCAGTATCCGATGCCATCAGCATTCAATGCCATCAGCAAGCCTTTTGCATCCCAGAGATCCACCTGAAGAACAGCCAAAAAAGACCTTAAGGAACATCAAACAGACAGAAAAAGACCGCACAAAGACAACACAACAATCCTGTAGACAGAAGGTATTGGGCATCATGTTCAAAACATATCCCTGAGGGTTTTATTTTGTGTTTGTTTGTTTTGTTGGTTTTCTCGCTGCTTTATGTTTTTTTGTTTTCCTTGCAGAAGTACAAGCTTCTCAAGGGAGTGCGGTTTGGGTAACATCACAAAAACAGGCAATCAGGCAACCCTTAGTTGGTGGTTTGGATTGGTGGTTTCGGGATTTGAACTGGTTGTTGTGGAGGGTGAATGGAATCCACTCCTTAACCACTAAACCACCAATCCAAACCACCAATTAGTGGGAAGCTGATGTAAGTAGAAGACAGGTGCCAGAAGCGATCACGATTCACCAGGAGTGCACAGAGCGAACACCTGCATTTTCAATTATCAAAAAATCCCAGGGACGGGGACAATAGTTTTCTTTTTCCTTCTTTCGGTGGTGTTTTGTTTTTGTCTTTTGTATCTGTGGGGGAGGGCTTTTTTATGAGGCTGTTTGCAGGGAAACCAACAATCTGCAGGGAATGCCCGTTTTAGGCAACATCCATTGTTGCTAACAACATGCGAGCGGGGAGTCGTGCCAGCTAGCTGCCACCTTCACGCTTCGTCCACTCCACTCCACTCCACTCCACTCTACTTTCACTGCTGACGTCTGCTTGCCATTTCTGAAGTGACTGCAGCATGTGGTCTTCCCCGCGTAGTTTCCAACGGATGTTGTATCACATGCGTCCTTTCTCAATGCAAACAACATGAAGTGACCTTCTTCCTCCAACAAGCACACCAAGTGAAAGTGGACTTAGACGGCGCAATTCCCTTTCATGAGGGCAAGTAAAGGTGATGTGCAAACAACCGGGAGGACTTGTGCCATTTGGGTGCCTTTGTTGAAGGCACCCCTTTTCAACTGGTTAAAAGGAAAGCCTGTATTTTTGGAGTCCCGCTACACACCACGCACACACACCCGTCTACTTTCCTGTACGTGTTTCCTGCCCCTGAGGCGCCGAAGCCAGCTCTGAATGCAGGCGGGGTATCCAACACTCTCAAACCCGAGATAAAACGGGCAAAGAACCAGAAGGCTTGCATTAGGCAGGCAGGGTCCTTCACCATTTTGACAACCGCCTGAACAGTTGAGACTTGGGCAGTCAGCCAACGAGAGAGGGAGAAGGTAGCATCATACATCCCAAGGCTTGCAGTGTTGTTTCAGAGGCTATGCCGAGGAAGCAAGCGCATTGGAGAGAACCGGGGAAATCGATTTCGGCGGAAAGCTTGTGGTTTTGGCCAGTTTCATTGTTTTGTTTTATGGAACCCATTATAATAAAAGCGGAATCCACTTGAAAGTGATGGAGCAGTCGCACGGATTAGTTTCCAGCGGCTCTCCGATCCAGCGAAAAGCAGCTAATTTCTGGAGCTAGGAAGTCATCTCAAGACATGGGCGGTTTTCGAACACGCGGGTGCTTGTGTTTTGAGGGAACCCTTTTGGAAGTGGTGGATTTCCAGGGGACAAAAAAAGATTCGGCGTTGGGTGTCTGGCAAATTAGAAATCGCTCTTTGTGGAATTCGGAGGATCCACTTTGGAAGACAGCATTCCTTTGGAAAGGGACCCTGGGCACTTGCGTGTTTGCTATGTGTTAGGCAGTTCGAGGAAGGTGAGAAAGCTGGTTGTGGGACGCAGTACCTGATTTCCAACAGGAGATGTTCAGTTGTTGTGACCAATGCTCTTTACATATTTGGCAGTGTCTCCAAATAGTGGACCCTCTTGTGGTTGGAATTTAAAGTGAAACCAAGGAAACCAACCCGTTTAGGCGATCAATTAGAAGCGCAGTTTCCTGCTTTTAGTACACCGCCTCGGTCCATGGCTTTCTGCTGGATGACAGTTCCCATTCATTTGTCTCTTTGATATCACCTGTCAGCCTCACATCTTGTGAACAACGTTTTTTTGGGTTCGGGCATAGAATCAGGCAAAATTGCTTCTTTCGAACATGTTCCTTAACGACAGGACACTGAATCGATGGATATGCTCAAAGTATGGTCCATTTCATGTTTTTCAGTCCTGGCACCACTTTAGAGGGCCGATCTGGGACTTGGGCAAATGCTTTATGACAAGGGATGTATGACTTGAATGTGAGCAACACGTAGACTTGAGTAGGTGAGGCACCCCCCCCCACTCGCGGCGGGGCGCAAAAAAGCCTTCCCCACCTGAAGGCGAGAATGCTGTGCTGCACCTGTGCCACAGTCAGACGTGCACTACGGAGGCGACTGGGGCCGGGGGAGTCAAGGAGGCGACCGGGGCGGCGTGGCGGGACTGGAAATGGAAGAAAAGGGACAACAAAAACATGGCTATTCCGGGGATGGCAGAAGGTAGCATTGGTTCCATGGGAGTATGGGTACGGCTCGGGGCGAACCCGCTGGCCTCCAACGGCAAGCTCTTGAGCCTAGAGGAACAAGCACAAATGCCGCCTCGTTGAATGTTGTCAGTATTTCTTGCCGGTTGGCTGGTAGACGCATCATTTACCACTCCCGCACAACACACACTGAAAAGCCACCGGCATGGCGCAAACGACAGTAGGTACATCTTGGCACCTCTGGCGAGCCACAAAAGGTGGCAGGGAGGCAGCAAGGAATCCAAGCCGCGCCAGAATGCCTTTTCTGTTTTGTTCCCAGTGAAAGAAGGGAAGGCAATCAGCACCAAGATTGATCATGCTCTACACCTTGTCATTCCGCCAAAGTTGTTTGTGACCGCGGATGCCAGGCATGCTCCCCCAATGACAGAGGTCTCACTCAGCTCCTTTATCAAAGCACGCGTGCTTCGTCCATTCAACCTTTGAATGGATGATCTTGCTTCTTTACTAACATCAACAATAAAACAGTGGTTGCAACCCACTTTGGAGGGATTTGTCACTTTTGAGGTGGCCCCCCTATGAATTTGTTGGGTCAAGCTGGTCGCTTTTCCTCGCAGGATGACTCTACGAGATGCTGCCGAGAAGCTGGCACCCCGTGCCAGGAGTGGACCACTCGCTGCGAAATTGATGAAACAAGAGACTTACTCTCTCGCTCTTCCAACTCCAAGGCACTGGGAAGACTACTTGGGATCCTGAGTTCCCATGGTTTTGGAGGGGATAGTAGAGGGATCACCCCAAAACAAGGACGAGCAGCGTCCCCATGGAAACCCAAACTAGTCAAAAGGCAAGCAATTGGAGCAGGCGCTAGTTGATCTATAGTGGCAACTAAGCGGAATGCAGGAGTTCCGTTGTTTCCCCGCGAAACACTTGCGCAGTGCCGGTCGGACACTGCGTTGCGAGTTCCTTTCGGCCCTTGGCCCGCAGTGAATGAAAGGTTGGAACCTAAGGGCTAATAGTAACGAGCTCTCCTGGGGGGAATACAAGCTCACCGATGAGGAAACTTCCGTTCAATTGGGTTTAGCTATCTAAGTAGAACCAGCATCATGGGCTGAAAAAATTATGCTTTCACGCACGTCAAGTGGCTTTACAAGCAAGGCATCCATGTTTTCTTCTGCCTGTGGGGGTGACTTCATTGGTTCTCGTTGGACGGAGTATGCGTAAAGCCTGAATACGATGTGGGCAAGATTTCAATCTGGTCTTCAAGCAGCGTCTCTGCTGCAAATTGATTTTACCCACAACAATCATCTTTGAGTTTCGTCTTCGATCCATGAGGTCGTCTCACTCATTGTGTCGATCCGCACGTTTCGGACAGCATCCGTACACATTTGAAAGACAGCATCAAGAGTCAGAGTCAAAGTCAAAGGGCACTGCTCAATTTGGTCCCAGATCTCAGAACTCCAGATGATTCCGGTTGCTCAGACAATGTCAACTTCGAATTGATCAGGTCCTTGCATAGTCAGAAAACAACTCCTTTGGATCGCTTTCGAAGTCAAAGCCCCTGGTGGATGAAGTTTCCGGCTCAGATGGGTCCAACAATTGGGTGGTTTCCTTTTGGTTTCTTTTTGGTTTCCTTTTGACATGCCACCCAAACAGGTACCCCAAAAAAACGCGCACATCCGGGATGATTCTTTGTCGCAAGTCTTCGGGTGTTCGCAAGCCTGTCTTGACAGCAAGAAATACGGCGTCAGATTGCTTGTCATTGAGCGCGATGGATCCTTTCATTTGCATTGAGCGAATCATAGCCTCACAAACCGAGAACTCTCCAGACTTAGCGAGAATCGCCACGGCGCTTTTTCTTCCCAAAAAAGCAACCTCCTGAGTGCTCGTTGCACGTTATACGTTTGCGGATTGAGCAAAGGGCAAGCAACTTGTGTGTTTTGTACGTGCATGTCGCTGACTGTGCCAGTTGCCAAGCTTGCCATGTGATCCTTGCACTGACAGTGCGGCGGAGATGATTTGGGTATGTGTATTTTGGCTGATTGACAGCCTTTTAGTGTTATTTGCACTCATGTTGACAGCATCACACTCTTATTGCATTTTCGAGAAATGGGCCTACCATTCAGTCCCTTGTCTTGACCAACACCGGACACATTGCGGGAAGGCTGGCAGCAAGTTCTGATCCGTTGGGCAGCCATCCACACCCTCCAAGATCTTCCCACTCATCACGCGGAAACGGAAGGAACCGAGCGCCGCCGCGCAGCTTAGAAGATCGTACTTGTCCTCCATGTTCAGGTAGAACCTTTGTTGCCTCAGGTGGCTGTGGGTACGAACGCTTAGGAGACTAGGAGACGATGAGTGAAGATTTGCCGAGGCCTAACCTGGTTTGAACCACTCAAATCCCGCTCCGGAGAAAACGTCTTATTAGCCCTTTGGTTGGCTTCAGGTGGCGCACTGAAATTGGGAAGCCTCCAAACCTGGGGGCACGAACTTCTCTGCTTCGAATGGATGAGCTCAGCTGGTGAGGACTTTGGACTAGCCTTTGGTTGTCCAAGCGACTCCTTCCTCTTCGACATGGGCTTCTGCCACCGCAGGGGCCCCAAACTACAAGCCAAAGGTTCTCCATGAATCCAAGCAGACAGGCACACCTGGCATACGTTTCAATAAGGAATGATTACCCTCCAAAAGGGGTGGGCACAACTCCCTACAGCAAATTCTCCACCTGCAGGGCCCTGACTTGCACACACACACACACGGTGTACCCACAGACAGACGGACGGACAGGCGGACGGACGGACAGACAGACGGACAGAAAGAGAGCCAGAGAGACAGATAGACAAAGAGACAGAGAGAGAGGATGAGAGAGAGAGAAACAGACAGAAGACAGAGACAGAGACAGAGACAGAGACAGAGACAGAGACAGACAGACAGAGCGACAGAGAGACAGAGAGACAGAGAGACAGAGAGACAGACAGACAGACAGAGCGACAGAGAGACAGAGAGACAGAGAGACAGAGAGACAGAGAGACAGACAGACAGACAGACAGACAGAGAGAGAGAGAGAGAGACAGAGAGAGACAGAGAGAGACACAGAGAGAGAGAGAGAGAGAGCGACACATACTTCCAAAAGCATAAATCAACATCATCCGCAAGGCCGTCCAAAGAGCGGTGCAAGTCCTGAAAAATCTCAGGCATGGTGCAGGCCAAAGGAACGTGGCACGACTTCTCGCATGATTTCTGTAAGTACCATTGCCAGCGCTTTGAACAGTCGTTCGAATATGAAACCACGATATGAAATGATTGGTCTTGCTCCGGGAAACTGCTTCTTCTGTTTCAAAATAATATATGATGATGGCGGGCGAGCCGCCAGCCGGATTCCCCATCTGTACGGCCGCAGCCAGGACTCCGACGCCAGATTCTGTAAATGAACCACGGCCTGGCTAGGTGTCAGCACAAGTGTGCGATAAACCTCTCTGTCTCCAAACGTCTGAAGAAGAACTCGGTGATACAGCCACGGGCAAAAAATGTGACACACACACACACACACGCACACACACTTGATCCGCTCCTTGAGAGGAGAAAGTCACCTGATCTCCGTGTTTTGCTTCTTGCATTCCCTGCCAAATTCTCTTTGCTATCATAGCTGTCATACTCGATCTGAGACAGTCCCATCACAAACGTATCCAGAGGTTCGCACGGACGAAAGAAAGAAAGAGGCATGCCAGCTGCGGAGACATCCGCCCAGGCCCTGCCTGTTTATTTGGAGTTTCGGATGCTCTGCTGGGTTTCCTCATCAGGATCCCCAAGCTCAGCAGAGTGGGGACCGACTCCATGCCTTGCAAGAAACTCTTCTCAGAGCTGTCACACACACACACACACCCGCCCCTCAGAATGGGGAAGGCCTGGTTCCAGGAAGGAGTGGCACTCCTGTGTTGGAGACATAGCTTTTGCACATTGTGTTGTCTTGCGATGAAGCGTCAGTATATGGCTCCAGTGGGAAGATTGGCACAAGCTCAAAACTGTACCTTCGTGCGTACCGGCTGTGTTTCGTTGATCTGGGCGGCAGCCTCAAAAGACTTAAAGAAAGCGCTCTGCCACAGTGTCTGAAAAGCTGCAAACTTCCCGGAGGTATGCATTGGTGCAAAAAAGATGGCGGTGTATCGTCTCAGTGAAAAGATTGGCAAGCTCAAGACTGCACCCTCGTGCGAAGCAGTTGTGTCTTTGCCAATCTGGGCGGCATCCTCAAAGGACTTAAACTTAAAGAAGGCGCTCCGCTCTGCCACAGAGCTTGAAACGGCAAGCTTTCTAAGATATGCATTGGTGCGAAAATGACGGCGGTGTTCAATGGCATGGAACTCCCGTGGTGTTTAAGGACATGGAAGCTCTGCAGGGCTTGCGGGTGAATCTGGCGAACTCCTTCTGAAGTATTTCCCTAGGATAGCCTTGCTGAATATACAGACGCCACAGCTGGCGCAAATCTTCGCGGACACATTCGGGCGGAAAAACCAAACCGCTGAATGCGGCTGATTCGAGCACGGAGGCCAGCAAGCCCCTGCGACAAAGTCCCCGGAGAAGGGAACTTCTTAAACTGCCAATTCTCAGCAGGCAAAATAGTGGTTAGCTCTCGGCGTGTAAAATTCAAAAGGAAGCCGGGAAACTCAGCAGATTCAACATCCTCAAGTTCCACTGGGCGCTTGTAAAAAGCAAGGTGAAGAAATTCCCGAAGCAATGGATGCGAGAGTAGTCTTGTAGACACCAAGACCAAGCGATTCTCTACGTATCTCATGCAGAAAAAGATATTGCCAATATCATCTTTGCAGCAATGGCCCGCGATTGCTCAAGAATGGAAACCGCAATGATGGCCAGAACTGGCGAAACCTGATTTCCAATAGCAGTGCCGCGCACTTGCTTAAGTACCCGACCAAGATGAACGAACAAACCAGGCTGCAAACTGAGGTGGCACAAGGGCAGAGCGTCTACCAGGTCAATAGAAACTTGATGTTGTCCAGTTGCGCGGGCGCGGGCGCGTACAACACGAAGTTGCACTTGTTTTTCCGCAAGACTCACCGTGAAAACAGTTGATGTGTTGGCAGCGTGCAGCTGTTGGCCGGTTAATCAACCATTCGCATGCTTGCATAATTCGAGGAGCTGGGATGGAAGGAAAGAAACCCGCCAGGTCTTGACTCAACATGACAAATTGCTCGTCGTCAGCGGCGTTGATGAGAACAGTATGAAGCTTTTGAGTTAGCTGCGGAGAGGTGTCCAGGCCAAAGCTGTCGGGAACCCACTCCAGCATCATACTGTGCAGGACAAATGACAAGGCACGGAAAAGCCGCGCAAAAATAAAGCCCCGTGAACTGGTCGGTCGGGCTGCAAGGTAGTCCTTTTTGCGCTTTAACAACGCATATGCCGTTGGTAACGGCGCTGACTGCTTAACATTCCAGCAGTACTTGTGTAACCATCATTGTCGACTGAGTTAGTCGCGAAGATGTTCAGCTGCTCGTGTTGGGTGAGGAAGTTGCTGATAGACATCCTGGTCGCCGAAGGTCCGGAAAAGCGTGGCTTGCTGTAACCGAAGGCAGAACACTAAAAGCTGATTTGGGGCATGGTCTCTACAGTGGACGACCGGCTGTCTACATTCCTGACGAATCTGCTTTACATACATCCGTGAAAGTGCAAGCGTGGGTGGCCGCTTCAAAATGTACAGGCCACTGTGTGCACACAAACTGCTCCCACATAGAAGAAGAGACGGTAAACAAGTGGTGGTGGTGCATCCAACGATGCAACAGATTCCATGAAGTGCGCACGTAGTGCTCTCGACAAGAATAAACCTGTGTCATGGCTGTAAAAGACAAGGCCCCCTTCAGTTTTTTGGGCAAGGACAATCGTTCTGCTGGCGAAGCAATCTGAGACTGACCGTTGAGCTGCGCTGTGGTCAATTCTGGATGTTTTAGAAGTACCTCGGAACAGGTGCGCTCGCAAAGCTGATCCAGAACAAATGACAGTGGAGCAGCTGTTTCAAGTTCGAGTGTCGGCTGCAACGGGTAGGCCCCTTGGCGCATGAAAAGGCGACAAAACTCCGTGGCTTTGATGATATGATGCCTGAGCCAGGCCTTCAAGTCAAAAGCAAAAAGCAAAAGACTCATGCGCCAAAAATGGAGGCACCAAAGGACTGGGAGACGGTGGTAGAGGGCGGTGTCGAAACCGCATGGCGCGATTAAAAATAGACAGAAGCCGTGACCGAGGTGGATCATCCAAATTGCTGACCAATCTCCGCATAAGGTACATACGTCAGAGTGCACCGTTGTGTATACTGGTTGGGGCGCCCGCACCGCACCTATTCTGAGAATCATGGGAAAATTTAGGTGCGGACACGCTCTGCTGTGCCTCCAGTTGTCGGAATTTGCGCGCCCTAGCATCTTCTCTGTCATGAACACCAACGAAAGTACTCCCCACATAGAAATGTCTATGCGGGAGATTGCCAGCCTTTGTCACAAAAGTGCGCAAGCTTTGAGAGATAGGCAGTAGAACATAAACCGCAAAGGGCTTCTCAAAATTGCGAGCAGATTTTGTATTGATTGCGGAGTAGAGACTCCCATGGACCTGAAGCGCAGATGCCGTCTGTACAGCATGGGTGGTAAGTCTCTTCCACGACGAAGGACCATATGAAACGCAGCAGAAGCGCACCTTCCAGAGCTCATCATGCAAACACTTCCAGAAAAGGAAAAATAGCCATGAGATGTGAAAGCATCTAGTCAGCTAGACAGAATGGTGGCCGCGCAAATGATCTTGGTCAATGGCCTTGGCAGCTATGGCCGCTGGAAATCCCCAACCTGCTGCACGATCTGCCAAGGGTGCTGTCTGCTCCGCAGACATCTCCTTGACGTGTTTGGTAACTTGACCTACTGCTTCCTTCAGGCGCGCGCTTCTCCGCGCTGATTTTCAGCTTGGAGATCCAACTGTAGACCGTGGCAGAAGAAACTCCTGCTGGAGCAGAATACTCCAGCACCCGAGAACCCGGCGGGGCAAACACGTCAATTGGGCCCGCGTGAAGAAAAAGACCCACAACAACAATAACAACAACAACCAACCAACCAACCAACCAACCAGCCAGCCAGCCAGCCAGCCAGCCAACCAACCAACCGACCGACCCACCAACCAACCAAACAAACAAACAAACAAACAAACAAACAAACAAACAAACAAAACAAACAAACAAACAAGCAAGCAAGCAAGCAAGCAAGCAAGCAAGCAAGCAAGCAAGCGAGCGAGCAAGCAAGCAAGCAAGCAAGCAAGCAAACAAACAAACAAACAACAACCAACCAACAAACAAACAAACAAACAAAATCCGGGCTGATGGAACAAACAGCGTTCATCGGGAGAGTTTCAAAGCCCGATGAAAGTGGTCTATTTAGTAGCCGAATCATTCTAGATCGTCTTTGCCTGAAACCATGCGTAGCGGCCGGTGCCGAATTCAATAGAGACTGACTCTTTCACGGTTTTGATACTACATGAAGAAACGTGAGCAGGTGGTTCCAATTAGGCATTGTGCACTGGTTCCCTTTGCGGCATCAATCGCAAAGATTGTTTTGCCATTGTCGCTCAAATTATCATCCACGAATTCTGCCCGCTCTTTGCGGGTCCGTGACTTTGCCAAGGGTTGCGGTGGGCTTCCACTTGCCCCAGCTGTCCCAGTCACTGGCATCATGCAAAAGTACCAAGCGCGAAACTATAGCACAGTCGCTACGGACAAGCCAACGTTTGTCCGAGCTTTCCGGTAAAATCTGAGCTTTTGTTGTTCAGCTTTGGTGTTCGCTGCTCTGTGCTTGTAATGCGTGCCTGAAAACTTGCCCGCCACAGACACCCCAATGCTATTTTTGGGATGAGTAATCACTGTGGTGGCCCACTGCGCAAATGAAGCTTCATCCCAACATTCCAAGCTAGCCCGGCAGAAAAGCCCAGCGGGTCTCTTCATTCATCAGACATCGAGGCTCGATGGCATTACAAGGCTGCTCCGCATATTGCCCTGTTGCAACCCCGCCACGAATTTTCATGCATCGAGGCGGCGCTGCGGTCTGGATTTTTGATTTGCTAGGCTTTCCGGGCAGCCGATCCCCACGGCTTATCCGACACGCAGCTGCCGGCAAGTATGACATTTTGTGGAATCATTTCACCAGCCAGGCAGGTGGCTGCAACACGCGCTTCAGAGTCTGGGGGTTCATTTGGTCAGGCGTAGCGGTAACTCCCTGGAGTAAGAACCTAAGGACGGCCTCTACCTGATCTGGCGGTGTTCTTGCCAGGGGGATTGAAACATTTTTTAACCAAACTGACCGGCCATGCTTTGACACCAACTGCGTCTCATCAGCCGGAAAACACCAGAAGTCCCGCAGATCCGACTCTTGCTGCACGTTTCGCATGTGTTGGTACCATTCGCGCGGGCTAGCAAGTTCAAACTTCTCTAAGGTCCGTTGTCCGCAGGGGAAAGAAACTCTCCGGGAGGCCCGTTGTCGGCGCGGGAGAAAAACGCTCCGGGAGGTCGGGTGCTTGGCCCCTGGGAACTGAAAGAGGATCTTTGTGCTTTGTGCGGGGTGTATTCCTGAACTTGCCGCTGTAAGGACTGAATGGCCAGAGTGGTGTAGGAGTCTGTTGTAAATCAGATGTCGGATGAAACCGGTGAAGCGTGCATGGGTTGGGCGGTGGCCCTGTTGGCGGAGGTCCGGGTTGGGGACCCTGCCGGTCCGGAAACACCACCTGCCCTTTTGGTGACTTCGGGGCAGCTGCGAACAGTTCGGTGTCTATGCCAGCTCTTGGTTCTTTCCCGACGGGGCGACCAATCATGTCTACAGCGGCGTCGATGCTGCGATCGACAGTGACGCCTCCCTCTTGTGTTGCATTCAGCCCTGCGCGTCTTTCTGGAGCGACTTCGGTCGTTCCTGTATGCTTGAAGAATTACCAGGCGGCCGATCTACAAGATCGCCGGGAGGTGGAAAAGTGCCTGGAGGAAGTTGAAAAGTCCGAGCTCGCAATGTCGCGTGTGTTCGCTGTGCGGAGGTGGCCAGGACGTACAAGTGTGTCTTCACTCGTGAAATCTGCGTCAGGAGCGCAGAGGATGAGGTGCCTGATTCCTGTGCGGCAGTGAAGAAGTTGAACACCACTTGAGGCATGGCTGCTCGTGAGTTCTGTTGCGTCAACAGCTGCTGGACTGTGACAGATTTGCTCTGCCTGTTCTACGGAGTTGGAAAGTGGAAATCAAGTGAAGTGGGAATCAAGGAAGGGAAACAGGGCTGTGGCATATTCGTGGCTTAGCCATGTCATCATCATTACAATCCTCTGCGGTAATCAAGCTCACACGCATCAGCAACGCCGTGGAACTCTGAGACATGTGGGAAAATTGAGTAAAGGGTTTGGTTTCTGGGCACTTTATCAAAAACCCAGCGTGGAATACACACTTGAGTCGCGTTCCCTGCCAAAACTCTTTGCTATCATAGCTGTCATACTTGATCTGAGACAGTTCCATCACAAACGTATCCAGACGTTCGAACCGGACTAAAGAAAGAAAGAGGCATGCCAGCTGTGGAGACATCCGCCCAGGCCCTGCCTGTTTATTTGGAGTTTCGGATGCTCTGTTGGGTTTCCTCATCAGGATCCTCAAGCCCATCAGAGTGGGGACCGACTCCATGCCTTGCAAAAAGCTCTTTGCTATCAGAGCTGTCGCACACACAGGCACACATCCGTATTCTGTATGGACGAGCCTTATGCATCCAAACAGAGGTAATGTTCCACGCCAACAGAGGCAACATTGCTTGCACCATGCAAGCAATCACAGATGTGAGGCACGGGCAATGTTATCCTATTTTACAACATCCAATGGCCGGTGTCTCGCAATCCAACCAATGAGCGTCGTGTCACAGAGCTGAGCCAAAGCCCAATGGACCAAGGTCCAGAGAAAAAGGGGGTTGCGCGCCTTCACGCCTTGCGAGGCTCGCCCTGCGTGGCACAAGACCACCGCTTCTGCTGCCAGCATATCAAGCAAGGCGCGACTGCCAATCGGATGCTGTGTCGTCTCGGACTCTCCGGCTTTGAGAAAGGTCTTCCTTTCGCGGATGTGCAGCAAGCGCCTGTGAGAACTCACGGGTCCAATCAGTTCTTATTCGACTGAGTCATATCTAACAGGTTTGAGGCAACAGGCATGCGCTTGTTTGGGGAATGACTCGCTTCCGCTTGACTGGTTTTGCGGCTGACAATCCGAGAAGCCGGGTGTGTCTAAAAATACGGGACCCAGAATGGTGGCTTTCCATGTGTTTTCGCCAACAACCCCAAAAGCTGCATTCAACAAAAGACAGACTCCGCTTCTTCGACAATTTCGGCAGATTGGCCCAGATTGGCAGACTAGTTTTTTGCGGTTTTCCAGAGGTGAGACTGGGGGAGACATAGGCAACGTTTCAAGGCAGCGTGCAAAAGGCGTGTGCAAAAGCCAGCAGCTGTTTGCTGGCAACTGTTTTGTGACTTATATAGAGCTTGTGCGGCGTGGCTTAGACTTTATCTTCAGTTTCTAAGCTGTTTGACGGCGTTTCCACGAAAGGCCTCTTGTGCCACTCAAGAGGTTGGGATGGTTCGGTTGAAAGTTGGGATATTCCCCGAACCCAACTTTCGAGTGCCTCCCCGCCCAACTCATTTGTTCATACATCATGTTGACTTGTGGCCTGGCTTCTGTTGCTCCCCCCGCAGATCGACAGAGAAAATGACATCTGGGAATCCGATCTGGGAGCGGCTCGAAGAATTTCGATCTTGCCTGCCAGATCAAGAAGAGCAGCAGTTCGACATGACCAAAGGTGGGGTGCGGGGGCTTCAAAGAGTGGGCCCAGGCAAGCATTGTTGGACACACACAAACAGACGCACCCACCCACACAAACACACACAAGACGCACACACACACACGAAGACACGCAGACACGCACACACACTCACAGCACATACATAGACAGACTGACAGACACACAGACACAGACACGCGGACACGCAGACACACAGGCACACAACACACACAGACACACAGACACACAGACACACAGACACAAGGACATACGGACACACGGACACACAGACACACAGACACACGGACAGACGGACACACGGACACACAGACACACACCATACACCACACACGCCACACACCACACACCACACAACAGTCCCCACACGACACACAAGATGCGACACACAACGCACAAGATGCGACACACAACACACAGCACAGACAACGCATCACAACGTAACCCAACGACAACCCAACACAAATGACAGCGCAACACAGAAAATGAACAGAACGCAACACAACATGAAACACAACACAAAACGTGTAGCGCGCAACACGCACACACGCACGCACGCTCGCTCGCTCGCACGCACCCACGCACGTGCCCACCCACACACACACACACACGCACGCACGCACGCACGCACGCACGCACACAGACACACACCCACCCACTCACCCACCCACCCACCCACCCCCGCATGCACGCACGCACGCACGCACACACACACACAACATGGACACACAACATGGACGCACACACAGACACAGACACACAGACACAGACACACACACGCACGCAGACACAGACATGCCGACACAAAGA